GAGGTGAGTCAGATGCCAGTGCAATATGCTCTCATTATACCTGATGTATAATAATGAAAAGATTATATTGTGACATTAAAAAGTCACCCAGCAACAGAGCATAGAGAGAAACAGTGCATCAGTATGATACCACAAAAATCAGGTGGTGAGTTAACCTGAGGTGGCATTAGCAGAACAAGCTGAAAACTGATCGATGTATATACACCAGAAATTATTACAGAAATAGAATACAAATAATATAAACCTTTAAACTTCAGAGGCTATATCCATTAACTTCCTTGGCTTTATTCCAGAAACTAATTTGGCTCATGTCCTGTAAAGAAGGCATTTGCACTGACATACTGTCTTTGTTTATACTTGGGGATTGACTCTGCTTACAGTCATTTGTCAAAAGCAGCTGAATGTAAATGTCCCAGCAGGGAACTCCACAAATTTCAACAGTTACAAACAGTTTCCCATGTACAAAACGTTGAAGACAGAGTTCAAGTTGCTCAGATCTTTAGAATGTCGTGGAAAGGATTAGAACCAAGATCTGTCTTACTAGGGAAGTTTTCCATCCTCAAAAACTCTGCTGAGCTGATCCTCTTGAAGTTGTCCACGGTACAGATCCAGCAAAGGCTTTCCCTTTGCTCTTGTTTGTCACAACTTGGCTGTCTTGGTAAGTCCCCAATGACTTAAGCAAAGCTAAAGCTCTGATCCATAGGAAATGGCTGAGAAACATAACCAAGTACTCATATCCAAACCTGCAGCTTCATTGGTAGTTGAAGATAACCCAAAAGTAAGCTGCTGACAAAGGGTAGCAAGAAGGGTATGAAAGATGAACTTCTTTAGCAGCAGCCCACGAGTAGAATAGCTTAAATAGCTTAATGAGAAAAAAACCTTCCTATGTCAGGGGACTTTATTTTCTGACAAGCCAATACTGAGGACCTGCTCTCAGCTCACTGTGACTCTCCCTCCTTTTCCATGGGTGACATGAGGCTGTGATTCAAATTCTGAGCACAGGATGATTTCTATGCAGAGCAACTTAGGAAGAAGTTCTGCGCTGACTTATGATCATCTGTATGACTAAAGTCTTCCTTTCTTTGCCAAGGTAATAAGCCCTTCCCCTAATCTTTCCTGCAGCAGAGTAAATATTCGATGTAATACAGCAGATCTGGTGGCAGTTTTAGCAGAAAGGTGCTGGTGTCATATCATGTAGGATTGTGCACATAAATGGCACCTTTTGAAAAACCCACGGATTTGCAAGGTTTAAAAAAACTGTGTAGCACCAGTGACACCTGCAGGAACATGCTGGTTGGAACAGCAACAGGAAAAAAATGCCAAAATGAGAAGCTATTGTAAGGATGTACCCACAGTGCCTGCCTTCCAGGCATACTTAAGCCTACTCGGGAATATTTAAGATAAAATTTTTGGGCAGAGTTGTTTAGAAAGGAGAGAAAGTAAATGATCAAGTATACACACGAGTAAATATCAGAGCACTGTGCCAACATTTAAAGGCAAGAAAGTTTGATCCAGTTTGAAGTATAGTAGCTAGATCACCAAAAAAAGGGGCTAGAAGGGGAAAGTCTTCAGAGAACAATACCTAGTGATTACCAGTGATATACAAAAATCTGCTTTTTCCGCTTCCCCATTTGCACAGTAACAAATTGAATTTCACTTCATTACATGATGCTGTTCCACTTTTGCCACACAAAAATCCAGCCACTCCACTTTATGCCAGTTTATCCTATTTACACTAGGAAAGCTGCTTCTAATGCACTTCATTAACACTGCTGCTAAAACATTGCTTTTAAAATAGATGCATGCAAGTTGAAAACAAAATCAAAGGAAAAAAGGAAAGGAAAAAATCCTGTTCTGGATTAATTTTTTGTGTCTCTTGGCTTAAAATGTCTTTTATGTTTTGTGAAAAAGCTGTGTCAATATGACTGGGGAACTGTTGAGCAAGGCACAGAGAAATATGTGTCATAGCAGATCTATCGATACTATACAGTATGGAGGAACATGAACTACCTGTTGCAAAATGGGAAATCTAGTAATACAGAAATCTTGTAATACAGGAAATACAAAAAATGTGGTGAGTCTGCAAGAAAAAGGAATTTAGCACTGAATGATACAAGTGAAGGGCAGATTGATATAATGATAAAACATTAGGCTAGCACTGGTAAAAATAATAAAAAGGTAAAGAGCGGGATCTGGAATTTTTTGGAGAGAAGAAGCAAAGAGATCCTTTGTAGGCAGAACTGAGAACCTCCTAAGGAGTCCTTGATCAGATTGGATATGACCCACTGGTGTGGTTTCTTTCTGAGAGATGTGTGATAACACACACTATGCTGCTGTGGACGGCTTCAGTTCCCCAGGTATGGCTGGGGCAGAACATGACAAAACACAAGATGACAAGCTAGGTCCAAGGTCAATCTCAGCAGTCCAGTTAAGGCCTCAAAAAATGCAGAAGACAGTGCTCAGAGCAGCCTACAAGCATACATGTATCTTGGGAGAGGACCACCCCAGTTTAATGATCCTCTTAGGCCCAAGGCTGATGTAAGGAGTGGAGGTCCAGGGGAGGTCAAGTCATGGCAATTAAGTCCTATTGGGTGCCCACAAGGCCCTCACACAAATAGAGTAAGACTTAATTGCTCTTGACTTAGCTTTCTCAGCAATAGGTGCTGCATGAGTTCTTTTTGTTAGAGCCCAAATAAGATTTTTTTCATGAAGGACTAAGTGTTGTTCACTAATGAAACTAAAAAGCCATCTCTCCAAGGTCCAGACAAATTCCTCCTAAAATGCATTTCATCCAACTTTAGACTTTGGTCTTAGGTGCACATCTGAGTTTTGATTTGGTTTATGATTCTATCAGTCCAAGGGAGAAGTGAAACCTGCATCTGACAGTGGTATCAGATTTTCCCTCTAAACATCAGCCTTACTGATGCCCTTCATCAGCATGGGTCCCAGCCATGGCTTGCAGGACCTGCACTGACCATGGGCCCAGAGCAGGCATAGGAAGAACCTCACACCATCAGCATGAAAGCATCCCTTAGGTCAGTAATGCAGCTTACTTGTGCAACCCCCACAAGGACTCACTGTCCACAAGAGTCTTCTTGGTCTGAACCCTTCCCCTGGCAATTCCAAGTGTTTACACAGCCTGGGTGAAAGGTAAGGGGTACAAGGTACAGAGATCTTGTGAGACCCCACCTGGAATTCAGTATCCAGCTCTGGGGTCCGCAGCATAAGAAGGATATTGACCTGTTGAAGCAGGTCCAGAGGAGGGATACAAAGATGATGACAGAACTGGAATACCTTTCCTATGAAGAGAGGCTGAGTGAGTTGGGGTTGTTCAGCCTGGAGAAGGTTGTTCAGCTCTAGAGAGACCTTGAAACAGCCTTCCAGTACCTAAAGGGGGCTACAAGAGAGCTGGAGAGGGACTTTTTATAAGGGCATGTGGTGATAGGACAAGAAGCAATGGCTTTAAACTGAAAGAGGGCAGGTATAGATTAGATATTAGGAATAAATTCAAGGGTGGTGAGGTACTGACATGGGTTGTCCAGAGAAGTTGTGGATGCCTCATTCCATCCTTGGGAGTGTTCAAGGCCACGTTGGATGGTGCTTTGAACAACCCAGTCTAGTGAAAGGTGTCCCTGCCCAGAACAGATCATCTTAAAGGCCCCTTCCAATCCAAACCATAGCATCAATGCTATGATTCTGTGCCTTTCTCTGCTGGAAATAAAATCTACGTCAGAAGAATAAAGAGACTAATCTAGCCCCTCACCTAAACAAAGTCCATTTTGCCTTCCCATCAGCTTCTTTCTGACTACTCTATCCTACTAACAGTAGCTCAGGAAAAGTGAGGGAGACAAGACCAACTAGATTCACAACTTATTTCCCAGTACAGTTGCAAAAGCTGACAAAAGTAAGCCAGAGGTACTACTGAAATGTCTGCCCATGCCTCTAAAACCAAGTTAGCACTTAAAAGCACAGTCCTGTTTGAGTGTTTATTCTGACAACTTCTAACATGTCAGCTCAGCCCAAATGGAGGCAGAATCAGGTGTTTCACTGCCCCTCAGAGCACCTAAGCCTGTCCTCCATATGTTGTATCAACTAACCGCAGTTTACCTTTCCTTGGCTTTGCAGAGGGCCCTGCTGCAGAATTCATAAGGCTTCGGTCAGTTTATAAATAAATCTCTGTTGATGCCAGCACTCAGCTCTTGTGGCCTGTACCAAAGAGCTGAGGCAGAGGCCAGGCTGGTGTGAGAAGAAAGCAAAAGATGTGAGCAAGAAAGAGGAAGAATAGAAAAAAATGTAACACATCATAGATATAAGATTATGTGTTCTTATCTACATATGGAAATAACTAAATTTCAAAAATATCTTTTTGATAAGCTAACCAGAATGAAATCTTTAACTCTGTATTGCTGACACAGTCAAAAACTATGTCATAAAGTTAAGGAGGGTTTGCTCTAAAAGCTGACACAGAAGGATCTGTTTGCACGTGCTCAATGCTACTGACTTTACAAGGTGTATTTTAAAAGAATGACAAAAGCTTTGCAGGTGCAAGACTGGTACATGCTGCACTTTAAGAAAACAGGTGGGTGTAGTGGCCTTTGTGGTTTGTGTTCTAACATGCTTTGGAGATACACAAATGCTGACCTCTATCAGTAACTACAAGCCCAACTCACTGGCCAAAATCTTATAACAATTGCAAAAAGCAGCTCTTCAATGTAGTTTGCATTGAATATTAGAGTTCTCATCTTATGTCTCTCAAATTTTTACATTGCTGAATACATGTGTAATTTGTATAAGTAGAAAAATATAAATTATCATAGAGTATAACAAAATATATAATGGTAATTAAACAGTAGTTCAGCCTAGAAGAACATTCAGAAGGCTGTTAGGTAAAATATACTAATATACTATATAAATATACACAAAAAAAACCCAAAAAACCCAGAAGATAAAATGGACACTAAATACCTCTCACATTTCTTTAGTTTTCATTCTTCCATTTATTTTCTAGCATTATACTTACTGACCATGTGATGAAAAGAAATTATTTACATTTTAAAGTTATGCCTGTTTATTTTGTAAGGAAGTTAATATCAGGTAATTCCAGAGCCATGCAAGTAAATAGTCCTTAACAGTGTGGAAAATGTGTATTGAAAGAAGATCACCTCCAAGCTGTCTCAGCTCTCACCACACATGCTACAGGCAGCCATCCAGGCCAGCCATTTTCCTGGCTCATGCAGAAAAACAAACACAGCCTTACACAGTGTGTAAGAAATATACCATTTATCACAGCCTCCAGCTGAGGGCTTGTAACAGAAACAGAATTGGATTTTTTCCCCAAGGAGTAAGAACAAACACTTCTCTTTCTATGATCTCTCAAAACTACATCTGAAGAAAGCTGGTTTCTTGCAGAATACTTGGACATCCACATAAATGCTTTACACCCCTGAATTCTCTACTGCTGCATCTGAACAAACACAGTGAGCAATGCCCTTCTGCAGAGAACACATACATGCAAGTTTTTGAATGTAGTTCCTCTTAGCTTCTGATGGCCAAAAACCATTAGTGAAAGGAAGTAATCCTTTTATGTGCCTGGAAACAAAAATCATAACTTCATTGGATGTTTCATATAGGCAAAAATTGGGTTCTGAATGCAAATCATTCAAAAGAAGTAGAACAGAGAAGAGAGCAACTTTAGAATACTATTGACCCTAAGGGTAATATATAACTTTATTGTATTTTTAACTAATATCATCTGTGAACACAAATATAAGAGGTACTACAATTGAAGACAACATTTTCAGCAATCAGAATTAAGATAATGTGTATAGACTACTTGGGAAAGTCAGACAGAGGCAATAGCTTTTACCTAATCAATTCAAATAGCTGGGAAAAGTACACAAACCTTGGTCATGCACATTTGTCTGCAGGAGGACATTTCACAGAAGGCTTATTTAGATTCTGCAAATAGTTTAATCTTATGGAAAAGACTAAATCTAATTTCAAACAGTGGCTACTTACGTCCCTCATCCATCTCCTCTTGGACCTTGTTTTTCTTCTTTCTAAAAAGAATCTGATCTCAATGTTGCAAACTTTTTGGGACATAGAATTTTCAGAAAAGCCATTCGAAATTTAACATGACAGAGAGGGTAAAGAAATGGGTTCAAAGAGGAATTGATCCACAAAAGCCAAAACGTTGCTTCATACAGGAAGTTATGGACACAATTTCCCTGGCAGGGCCCACGGATAATCATTAATAAAGAGTATGGTGCCCAGCAAATGGCAAACACACAGACAATTATGGCAAGAGACTTTGCTATTTTCTTGTCCCGTTGCAGTTTTGATCTGGTCTTTGCACAGAAAGAAACAGAAAAGTCATTTCCTGGGGTTACAGAATTGTCTGTGGATGGAGATGAGCAGTCAGCTCCCAAAGACTCTTTCTTTGGTCTCATGGAAGAAGAACCACTGTCCTCTGCTTCTGACGAAGGAGATGATGCCCCTGGCCTTGGCAAGCCACAGAACCTCCAGGACAGGCTGCTCCTCCTGGCATGCTCACAGTCCTGCACGCTGCCGCGCCGCTGGCGCTGCTGGATGTTGTGGAAGATGTGCACATTGAAGTAGGTCACCAGGAGCAGGGGCACAAAGAACTCCAGGGTGGATGCACACAGGAGGAAGTACCAGTTGTGGAAGAACTCAGCGTAGCACTGATCCACTGGTACCACGCTGTGTCCGGCCACGTGCTCCCAAAACAGGATGGCTGGGCAGTACAGGAGGAAGGCAAGTAGCCAGATGGCCACCATCTCAATGGCAGGGTTGGATGTTATTGCCTGCTGGGCTCTGTAAGATACCTGTGAGGGGAACAAACCATTAAAAGTTCAGACTTGTAGAGACCCATTTTGGGACCAAGAGAAGCAGATGGAGACGAACTCAAGAGGTGCTCGGTAATACAGAGATGTGGCTATGCTGATCAGATGAAGGTCCCCCAAGCACATTTATTTCATTGATGTTGACAGAGCATAGGGCTGTCTCTCTGCAAGTCAATGTCACTGCAATATTAGGGTCCTGACATTGTTAATGTCAGGGTCCAGGTCCGTGGGATAAAACACAATCATCCATCAATGCCTAGTAATTTGGTATGCCTTGTTTGAGATACCTATGGTCTGAAGTGCCAGAGGAATTAGCACTTTATAGCTGTTGGGAGCATGACTCCCACTCACTGGAAACTGCACTGCTTTTTACAGCATTTTACAAACAAATAACTTTATGCATCATGGCGCTCAACAGAAAAGGTGACACACAGATTCAACCTATAAGAAAATTACTTGCTAGACAATTCATAAGGATGAAGGAATAGATACCACACCTGCAGCACAGCCCTTAGCTGATGAAACTAAAAAAATCATCCATTTTCTTCCTTCTACATCCACTCCAGGGCCACTACATATTTTTCACTGTATTTGCAGAATATATAGATACAATGTGGCTCACATTCTGCCTCATCCCTTTCACGGGACAAATGTATAATTCTGCAAGCTTAGACATCCAATTGATAACAAAAGCTTGAGTTAATGCCACTAGAATTATCATACAAATGTTGATAGGTCTTAATTGCATTTGTAGAGGCGCTCTGAATTTTGCAATTTGTAAATGTTGAGTCTTTAGCTTTCCAGCGTAGTTTCTTACATACCAAAAACTTTGATATTTGATTTCCAATATTTTTTTCCTTAAATAAAATAAAATAACAAAATAAAATAAGATAAAATAAAATAAGATAAGAAGGCAGTTATATGAAGTTAAATTGATTACCACAAGTAAGACTGAAATTCTACTGCATGAAGTTATGTTGACAGTCTCATACACACAAAAGAGCTGGAACCTTTAGTTCTCTGTGACATTCCCTGCCACCTGAGCTAACAGTGGCTGGTGAGAAATGCTGGCCTCCACCCCCAACACGGCCCAAGACATAAAGCTCACACCAGGCGTGTAGGATTCTCTGCAGAAAGCAGAGGCAGAATGTGTCTGAAGTTTGGGATTCTGCTCCAGACACAAAGAGGAGTTTATTGCTGCACATCTAGAGGCAGTGATTGCAGTCTGCCCTTTGTTCAACTTTCTGCCTGTTTGCTCTTGCTCCTGGTCTTATTAGAGTAAATTTTGACCACATCTCAGGTCTAGACACCCTCCCCAGTGTCCTTTATTTTACTGCCCTAGATCCACTGTATTTCACTTTCATGCCTGATTTTAGGTCCAAACGCCAATCCAGTCTACTCTGAATTTCCTCTTTCCCTGGCCCTTTTTTACCAGTCAGCTGCCTTACCCTTTATACCCCCTAAACTGTTTTTCCTCAGGCAGTAACACAAGAGCAGCTTGCAGCAGAAATTGTGAGAAAACTCCTGGTTGACTGGCTCTGCAGTGAAGCATACCCAATGTAGAATATTCACCCCATCTGGCTACAAAATATCTAATAATCACCACATGCCAGTATATTTTTGAGGGGTATTATCTTCTTTAAATTTGGGCTTATACTCGTCAACATGGCAGAGGTTGGTGAATATAACCATCCAAGGAAAAAAATCAGAGAAGCTCTAAACAGGTTACTTACAGCTTTAGTGACTGACAGGAAACGGTCATAGCTGATAAGAACAATGTTAAACACTGAAGCTGTGCAGAGGAGATAGTCCATGACCAGCCAGATCTTGCAGATGCCTCTTCCCAAGTGCCATTTCCCTGTCAGGCTGTAAGGGATGTAGAGGGGCATGCAGAACACACCTGCAGACAGCAACAACAAAAACACCATGAGGTTCACAGGGACTGCAAAGTCTTGGAAGCAGACAGACACACTGTTTTGGTATTTGGGTGAAAAAAATCAACAAATCTATTAAGGTGAGTATGTAATTTATATACATACATTCTTAAATTCTCATGAAATCTGATGGTGACTTTCTATGTCTTAGGTCTTAGTGTGATTTATGTATGCTGGTTGTTGAGAATAAGCTGAAAGCAATTCAGCAAAGAAAAATTTACTGAAAAAAAAAATTCAAGTCTAACCAACTAGGACTCTCTAGAGGTATAAAATTAGTGCTGCAGCATATATGCACAGTGGTTGCATTCTGATAGGTAACCTCATCATTTTATTTCCTCTATTCTTTCATCTGTATTAGAATTTTCCCTCAAACACATCTGCAGATGTTGCTGATGGCAGTTATTCCTGTAAAATTGGTCAGCATTTGTAAACTGAAGACAATATATTGGGCAGCCTGTGTGGCGTTCTACCAGAGATAGAGCAGACACAGCAGAAGTATGAAACTCTCATTTTTAAGGAGTGTTTTAATCTCATGTTTCTTCTTTACCTGAGAATAACTCCAGAACTATTTTGGTTTGTTAAATTTGTGTTTTGTCCAAAAGAACTTCCACTGAAGTTCCTAATTAAGAAAACAATATTTATGTTTTATTTTTAAGCCATCAACTTCTTCATTTTAACAGTAACATTCTTTCAAAAGTGTGGTGCAATAGCTGATTCTACATTCCTGAAAATGCTGATCTACCAGAGGCAAATGGAAAATTATATATTGCATCAAGTTCTATTTAAAACTCTCCAGATTACTCCTTTCTTGACAAGTCCATCAAGATCTTAGAAGTTACTAAACATATCCAGCGTGATGTGGTCCACTGACAATAAAACTCTGGGCAATGAGCTGCCAGACTGTTATCAACAGGGAAATGCTCACAGCACTTTCAATACTGATGGCTTATTTGAACATATTCCTTTAATACCAGCAGCATCACTCTGGTACTAAATACTCATTTTTCATGTTTGCTAATAACTGCTAATGTTCTCACAAACTTCAGTGGGATCAATGTTTGGCACCATGTCAAAAAGTAATGACTGCTTTTAGCTATACATATAAATATAGAGGCAAACCCCAGGTTTTAAGCATTGATATTTGAAGCTCTTCTTACTTTTACTAATTGGTGGATGCAAAAGACATGAGTCACATCCCCATAAATATTCCAGACTTTTCATAAATTAAAAAAAAACCCACAGCAATTTTAGAAAATAAAGCATTTCCCAACCGATATCAGAGACAAAAATCTTAAATTTACAGTCTGTATAGGCCAATCTAACACTGATGGCAATCATTTCCTCTTGGCTGACTTAAGAATGCATGAGGCACCAGCCACAAAGAACAGATGCTGAAGGCAGATATTTAACTCTCTTATTAAACTTTGAGATATGAGGAGAAACAGACTTTTGCACACAACCTGAACAATGAAATAGCAGCTCCAGCAAATTGTCTGCCTTAGCAGGAAAGCAAAGGCTTCATTTTCTGCTCCATGGGGCAAGTCTCAGAATACGGCAGCACATGTTATAAATGGTATAAATGAAGGAAAACCTTAAAGGCTAAATAATACACGTGCCTACACAGCACTGACAAAGGAACAGCATTTTGGGGGGATGGTATTGTCAGAAGTGCAGTAGGTCTGTGGCCACGATTTCCTTTCTCACAGTTCAGTGCATACTCTGTGACCATCCTGAAGAAAAAGCCTTTGTGTGCAGAAGTACCTCCTTGCCAGCCTCAAGTCACGACATTTGCTGGCACATCTGCCATAGAACTATGGTTTTGTCAGGATTTCTCTGCCACATGGGCTGTTTCCCTGGCTTTAGCCGTGGAGGAGTGCTGCAAAAGGCGTTCACTCCACCATCACCTCACTTGGCATCACCAGCCAGGACTGGATCCATGGCAGCTCCAGCAACAAACTCTCCTGGAGTTCTGCAGTGACACTATGGGAAGAGGGGACCAATTAGGAATAAAGATGAGGGATGCCAGCAGGGGTCAAACTGGTATCAAACAAAGCATCGGATCAATAGCCTGTGTTAAGCTGAAGCCAGTAAAAGCTCAGGGTGATAAAGTGTCTTGCTGTAGTGTAATAACATTCATAAACCATTTGTACTTTGTAGAGAAGTAATTCATTTACGTGGATGTATCACACATAGCTGCCAAATATGTGTCGCCTGTTCTGAAGTGTGTGATGAACACCTTATATTTGGAAAGACAAGGGTAAATCATAAAATGCAGCAAACAACCCCTTCAAGAAGCATTCACATGCAATAGTCACTTCTTTTTTTTGAAGCAACATTAGAAGTATTTGTATGAAAAAGAATGCATTTCTCATTTTAACATACTTTGAGATATATTGGGCAATTAAAATACTTCATGGAGCTTCCACCATTCCCCATCCTTCCCCCAAACACAGCTGGGAAATAGTTCTCTCAGAAGAAAACACACAGAAAACAAACACCAGTGCTTCTCCTAAGAGTCCTACAGCACAACTAGCACATGGCTCCACAGCTCTCACTTACCCACTGCAAAGTCAGAAACAGCAAGATTCAGAAAGAAATAGTTACTCCGATGCCTCAGGTTCCTGTCCATAATGAAAGCAAGGATCACCAGCATGTTGCCAAGGATGGTCACCAGACACAGCAACACCATGAGGAAAGCCAGCAGCGCCAACACACCCAGGGGGAACTCGGAGCTCGGCGCCTGGCTGGGCCAAGTCTCGTTACGCGTCTCAGCAGCGTGCGGAATTTCGGTGGTGCTGTTGTGCATGGTGGGTGTCCAGGCCAGGTCAGTCTGGGAAGGACGTTGTGTCTGGCAAAGTTATCCAAAAGGTTGAGATAAGTCTATTAACAGGCTGGGCTGAATACTGAAACATAAAAAGAAAATATTCACAGTATCAAAAAAATGGAATACAAGAACTGAAGACCTGGGCTCTCTGACATTTCTTGGTTTGAATGCACCTATTGGCCTTAGAAAAGACACCTCACAATCAGTTTCTTTCCTGGACATGGAACAACTCTTCTCACAGTCAAGCAGTTCGCATATTAGCAATGTGTGAGTGGTTTTGCACATCAAATTGTGCTGAAGCCATATCTCATTTTCTCCTCCACAGTGGTGAACAATAATAAAATTATTACAATTCTATTTCCCTTACAGTAAAATGTAAACACTTTTGCACTTGCTGCTACACCACTTTTTAAATCTTACAGTTAATAACAGAGAGATATCTCTTAGTATTGCTGTTTACAGAGCATTTGTAATACAGTTCCGTGCAGCAGAAGCATCACCAATACCTCTTCAGCTCATCCTAACCAGAAGTTCTGGGCAGAACAAACTAAATACTTGGACTTTGGAGGTCTTTATGGTGTAGCCCATCTAATCCTGCACTTTTCAAGTAATCCTTGACAAGCTTTAACTCCATGAAGTACCAAGCCTTTAGCCCTTTTCAGGTGTGAGAAAAGATATGCCTTCCTCATCCCAACTCCATTTATTTTGGTGGGAGTGCACAGAATTTGGTAGGCCATGGCTATGGCTGTTACTCACTGACTCTGTAGCACCATAGCACACTGAGCAACCAGCATTTCAAACTGCAGCCATAATGCCAAGTACTTGGGAAGATATAGGGCAAGAAACAAGGAAAGAGAAGGTGGGCAAAATGTGGGCAGGAAAGATGCAGTGCTCTGCTACCATATTGAGGAACAAAGGGAATTTTGTTGTAAAGAGCCATTAAAGCAAAAGGTGTAGCATGATAGAAAAAGAAGAGACCTCAGGAATGGCAAAATGTGGCAATGAGACACAGCTACCTTTCTGTGTGTTTTCTTCTGAGAGAACTATTTCCCAGCTGCAGCCTGGGAAGCAAAGGGGAAGTACTGGAGCTTCCTGCGCAGCCACCAAGCCACACTTGACACGGGTGACATTATGGTGACAGCACACTGCAGAGCTCAGGGTGAGGAAGGTGATGAAGTCTTCTTTAAGCAATTCAAGGAAGGTTCTGGACCACAGAACCCACTTCTTATGTAGGACTTTGGTGTTCATGGCATCTGCTGGAAGTCCAACACAACAGGTCTAGCAGTGAACAGGGTTCCTGGAAGCTGTCAGGGGGAACTTTCAGACACAAATCCTGCATGGGCTAATGGGGGTGATGCACAACTGAAACACCTACTCAGTGGTAAAGAGGGGCTGTGTGGGGATGTGCTGCCAGTGCCAGACTCAGATGTAGTGATGATGAGGTAGTGGAACTCAAGATCCTAAAGGGGATGAGGAAGGAGAGCAGCAGTGCAGACCATGGGCTTCAGGTGAGCAGATTTCCGTTTAGGAAAGTGGTAGTGGGAATCCCACGGGAGCAGATCCAAAAGACAAGGAGCTCAAGGAAGCTGCAGGCCTCTAAAGACGGCAACGTCCTTGCACAAGAATAGTCCATCCCTGCTCTCAAGAAAGCAAGCAGATGTATCATGACAGTAGCTAACCCTGGAGACTACAATGTGAAAAGGCAACATGAAGGAGTTAGAAGGAGGGACAGAATACAAAGGAGATATTTAGAAATGTTGTCTGGCAACATAAGAATGATATTAGGAAAACAAAAGCTCACCTATAGTTGATGTTTGTAAAGGACATCAAAGACAACATGAAGAACTTCAGCCACCCCATTAGGAGCAAAATGGTGAATAATAAAAATATGGGTAGCTTACTGGATGGGACCAGTAATCCGGTGACAGCAGGTGCAGATAAGGCTGAGGTACCCAATGCTTTCTTAGCTTCATTCCTCACTATCTAGGTTTCCCTTTCCTCCATGCTTTGTGAATGAGTTCAAGGATGAGAACTGTCACAAGCAGGTGAGAATAAAACAGGATTACTTGAGGGGACTTGACCCATAAAAATCCATGGAACCCACGGTGCTATCAAGAGAACCAGCTACCACCTTTGCAAGGCCACTTTCTATCCTCTTAGAATGGTCATGGAGATAAAGGAAGATTCCCAACCACTGAAGAAAGAAGAAAATCAGAAAACTGATTTTCAAATATTGCCACAAGGATAAAAGGTCAGATTGTCTTTAGTTCTTGGGAAAATAATGGAGTGAGTCCCCTTGAAAAGTGTTTCTGAGGACCTGGGGGAGAAGAAGGCGACTGGGAACAGTTGGCATGGACTTACCAAGGGTAAATCATGCCTGAGCAACTTGGTTGTCTTCTTTGATAAAATTACTGGATTAGTGGACAAGGGGAATGTAGTAATTTGTATTCATAATTAGGGAATAAATCAAATGTTGAAGTTTTAATCATAGTTCTGTGTGGCACTCAGGGGGAAATCTATGTGGTATTTCCTTTGGAAAATAAAGGACATGGACATTAGGAGAATCATTAGCATTCAATATTTGTTTCAGAAATAAACAAAAAAAAAAGATAACACAATTTCTTCCAACATGCATTTTTATTTGTTGAGTGTTTTTTTTTTTCTTTTAAATATGAGAGGGTCAGATTAGAAACAAACTGGTGTGGTTTGAGTTGAAGCTCACAAAGTTGAAGCCCACATAGCTACTGTCACCATGTATTTAGAAGGCCTACTGAACATCTGCAAAGACAGAAGAAAATTTAAGGACATGAAATAGTGAAATGGATGAGTGACTGGTTAGAGAGATCTGGGTTAGAAAACCGTTTGTCAAGAAACATCCATTCGTATGGGGGCATAAGAACAAATGCTGAATAAGTATCATACCATAACCCTGAAAAATGTCTCATTTGTAATTTACAAGGGAGAATATTTATGATGCCACCCTGACCTAGGGTAGGCACAGCAACCCAGTGCTTGACTTACCATGGGAGAACTTAGCAAAATTTTCAACAAATAGAAAAATACAACAAATGCATCTAATACACAGGAGTGACATGAGAAAACAGTTTGAATAGTGTGTGTGTAAAACAGACTCTAAAAAACACTTATGTCTAGTAGCTTCACCATGCTATGTTGTTTCAAATTCGCTGCAGATTGTGCTGCCTGGCAAATTCCCTGACTAACTAGCTTTCCAGCACTGCTGGAAAAAACATGGATTATCTAGTTTATCTAGGTAATAATTTTGTAGGTTATTTTTCCAAAATGAGCAATACATTCTTTCAGCACAAAATGCAAACTGGATTTTTATACTAAAAGCATAGGGATAGAAAGCAGACAACACAAACACATTTCTATCTTGGGCCCATCTTCAGTTTCTCTATTTAACAGATGTTTAGTACACGAGCTCTTTTATAAATGTTTTAACTCTGTGTGTGTGTTTAGATTTTTTAGAAAGCGTCATAGAAAAGCAAACCACACAAAATCTATGCCTGCACCACAGCTCATGACAGTAAAAACAGCTGTGCTGAATCAATGACCTCCTCCTGAAGCTGCGCCTTTCTTAGCCATTAGGCTCACAATCCGTAACACTATCCATGTGAGGCAAGGAAGCATAGCAAGAATGAATGGTGAAAGATAATCTTCCAGCAGTGTGAAAACTGGCAAGAGAAGCCTTCAGTTCCAGACCTCTGAACAAAAAGACATTCTAGCTCTTCAAAGCCATCAACTTTTGTGCTATCATTAAGCTGTTTCCATGCGTTTGAATTGTGTTTGCAAAGGAGTACTCTGTTATGGCAACACTCCTACAGCCAATTTCAAATTAGATTAAAAACCATTTAAATTGACTACTGCTCTTCATTGTTCTGTGCATCAGATTTCTCTTTCAATATTTCATACATTATTATATTTATAAACGAAGAGGAATAAAATTACACAAAAGGGGAGAAAAAAATGTAGCCAGTGACTCTCACTTACCCATCCATGAAAGCCTTCTGGGTGAGTTGCAACACTCAACATATGGTAAGAAAGCTTGGCACATGGAATGGGGTGTAATCAAGTTCCATTGCTTCCTCCAAGACATTTACTCACTCCTTTCAGCACTGGACATTCAACTGCTTTGTTTGTTAAGAGCTGCCTAAAACATCTCTGTATCAGCTTCCAGACCTCTGTAAATCTCATTCTCAAGCAGTGAATATGGCCCTTGCTCCCTAATTGAAAAAATCAAGTTTGATATTTGTTCTGTGGCAGAGAAAATCCATATAATGTCACAGTAACAGGACATAAAGCACTGATCTAGTATAAAAAATCACTCTGTCAGATCAAATTTGTTCCAGACATTTTGATGGAATATCTTTGCACTTGCAAAGCTTTACACCGGAGAGGCTATTGTCTATTCTTGCACAGACAGCCAAAATCAAAAATCCAGTATGAACTTAGCATTGCTTGCTCTGCTAATTCAACAGGAATGTGATCACGTGCCCAAGCCTGGCCTATCTTTTAGGCAATCACATAGTGCACAAATCTGGCACTAAATATCATTTAAGCATGACCAAAGGGGCAGCCACTGTCAGGTGAAAAAACAGTATGGGTGAGAAGACTAACAACCATTTGTGTCTGACACTTTTAATAACCAGTCTCAAAATTCTCATAGCATGGAAAATTTCATTCTCTAAAAATCATTCAGAATTACTAACTTACATATACTTTGTCCTGCAATGCCAGGTATGAGCTACATTAAAACTTGAAAAAGACAGATATGGCAGGTTAGGCAGTCCATTCACTTGCATATTGCTCACTGTGGGGATTCTAACAAGGAGAGGGCACTCTCTTGTCTTCATAATAGTTTATGATATGAAAATATACTGCTTCTGTGAGTATTTTTACAATCATTGAAAAATGTAGTAGTATTGCTTCTTCACTGATAGCTTTAGATTCATAAATAGAACATAAATTTTAATTCAACACATACATGAACAAGTATCTCCCTCCAGTGACTCTCTATGAAAATAGCAAGAGCAGAGCTCTTTCACAGTGCCAGCTCTATATATTAAACAAAGGAAAGAAAAAAAAAAGAGAAAGAAAAAAATATACCTCACACCCACAAACCAAGAGAACATCCAGCAAAGCTCATTATTCTTTTCAATCCACTAGATGGTAATTAATCTACCATCATACCAGCAAAACCAAAAATGAGATCCTGAAAATTAGCAATATTGGGGCAACTACATAACTCTGCTGCACTCTTAAACAATGTCATTAGTAAACAAATAGGTTTTTTCTCTATTCGTGCCGACACATATGAAAAGGTATCACTAAATGACAGAGGAACCTTATTTGTAAGACATTCCTTTTACCTCGCTAAATAGAAGGCGTGTTACCAGATCTCAATGCTGCAAACTTTTTGGGACATAATATCTTCAGAAAAGCCATTCGAAACCTCATATGGCAGAGAGGGTAAAGAAATGGGTTCAAAGAGGAATTGATCCACAAAAGCCAAAACGTTGCTTCATAGAGGGACTTATGGATGCACTTTCCTTCGCAGACCCCATGGATAATCATTAATAAAGAGTATGGGGCCCAGCAAATGGTAAACACACAGACAATTATGGCAAGAGACTTTGCTATTTTCTTGTCCCGTTGCAGTTTTGATCCAGAACTTGAACAGAAAGAAGCAGAAAAGTTCCTTTTGAGAGCTGTAGAACTGGTTTCTGTTCGAGATGGACCATTGGCCACCACTGCTGGTCTCCACGACCTCGTTAGTGATGAAACACTGTCCTCTGCTTCTGACGAAGGAGATGATGCCCCTGGCCTTGGCAAGCCACAGAACCTCCAGGACAGGCTGCTCCTCCTGGCATGCTCACAGTCCTGCACGCTGCCGCGCCGCTGGCGCCGCTGGATGTTGTGGAAGATGTGCACATTGAAGTAGGTCACCAGGAGCAGGGGCACAAAGAACTCCAGGGTGGATGCACACAGGAGGAAGTACCAGTTGTGGAAGAACTCAGCGTAGCACTGATCCACAGGCACCACGCTGTGTCCGGCCACGTGCTCCCAAAACAGGATGGCTGGGCCGTACAGGAGGAATGCTAAGACCCAGATGGCCACCATCTTGATGGCAGAGCTGGACATTATTCCCTGCTGGGCTCTGTAAGATACCTGCGAGGGAAAAAGGACATGTCACATATTCAGACAACATTTTGGGGGAAATTACGTCAAAAAACCAAATGTAATCAAGCCAAATATAGTATTTGTTCTGTATTTCCCCAGACACCTAGGACGTCCTCACTATGTAAGGTTCTGAAAAACTGCTAGTCTTGTTCTCCTTACATTGTAGCTCTGTGATTTATTTTATACTGGACATAGGAGAGGAGCAGAAATTATGACGGCTAAATTATCATTTGGCTTCCAGGTATGAAAGGACATATCTTGTTTCCACCACACAGTAAAGTAGCAATAAGGAATTGGTGAGAAATAGGTTTATGATTCATCAGCCCAGGCTCAGCAGAGAGTGAAAGCAGCTGTGGGAGTTCCTACATGTCCAGCAAAAGAAGAAGCCTTCTATATTAGACAGTTTGCCATGTGAGACTGCAAACACCAGACAATATAATTTCTCATACTGTTTCCTCTTGCCATAGCAGAAAAATCTATCCCAGACATACACTGTAATACCCCCTGCCTTATTGAATCACTCTATTTTAATGTTAGCCTTACCTTGTAAACAGTTCATTCCACTACTGAAAATCTTGATGCTTTTATGTCTACCCAGACAGCACATTAAGAATTAAAATAAAATCATCCAGCGTTAGGAAATACAAGAGCTAAGCCCACCCTGTAATAGCCCATTCATACTCTTGGTCCCCTCCATCTTTCATAGCACAAGAAGATAAGTTAATGAAGAGCTGGACGACTTTATTTCCTCTATACTGTTCAACATTTGGCATCTCAGGCTTTCCCCAAAACTGCTGCCTTCCTCATCAGCTTCCAATACTGTTCATTAGAAAAGCATCTGCATGATGCACAAATTATAATGAATGGCACCTTCACAGCCTCATACACACAAAGGGCATTGTCCCTATTTCACCAGCAAGTATCAGAGCAGTAGTTCAGGATTATGCACATTGGTTTGGATTCTCTGTTTTAAATATGTGTAGCCTGAAAATTCAGACTCCTCTACATCTTAAAGCATCATATTAGCTCTGTGCACAGCTCCAGATCTGCAGTAATGAATTTGGCACCCTGTGCAAGACAAGCAGCTCAATTTAGAGGCAGAAAACAAGCTGAGCACAGCCTCACAAATTATTAAGTCTGGAGTGACTGGAACCTGGCAACAGGCTAGGTTTGCAGCAGAGGCAGAGGTAGATCCCAAGTCCCTGAGGAAGCATGGTGTCTTTTCTTTGGATAACAGCCCTGTTACACATTCCTAGACTCATTCCATCCTAATACCCTAAAGAAGAAAACCAGAATGTGATCATGTAAATGGAGACCATCAGCAATGGCACAAGAACATGGATCTCAACTAAGTTACAGAGGCCCTTTTATTTCACATTATTCTTATTCTGAGCTCTGCAGCTTCGTTAATGTCTTAAATACAGAGATTCTTATATTTTACTCTTCAGCTTAAAAAAAAACCAAAAAACCAACAAACTAGCAAAAACCAACTTGTAAAAACCACACCACTAGGGAAGAAGAGAAAGTGATTAGGTACTGTACCAGCACCTCCCAAATGAGAAGGTCCCAGTCTAATATGAAACATGTCACTGAAGCAAGCAGGCTCATCAGCCAGGAGAAGAGAAGGCTTTGGGGTGACCTGACTGCAGCTTCCCAGGATCCAAAGGGCAAGCAGAGATAGGACAAGGGGCAATGGCTTTAAACCAAAAGAGAGTAGGTTTAAGTCAGATATTAGAAAGAAATTCTTTGCTATGAGGATGGTGAGGCACTGGAACAGGCTGAGCAGAGACGCTGTAGATGCTCCATCCCTGGAAGTGCTCAAGGCCAGGTTGGATGGGGCTCTGAGCAACCTGGTCTAGTGGAAGGTGTCCTTGCCCATGATAGGGAGTTGGAACCAGATAATCTTTAAAGTCTCTTCCAAACCATTCTCAGATTCTATGACCAAACACCAAGCAGAGCTTAGAAATGGTGAATGATAATATTTCTTACTTGATTCCTTGGCTATCTTCTGAAACAGAAGAACGACAACATTCAAGAGACTTCTCTTATCTCTCCATATATTTTGATTCATTCTTCTTTTTGCTTCAAGGGATCAGTTTCCACTCAACTGCTCATTGTCAGCGCATGTCAATCACCCCCTGCAGTAATTTAGATCCTCATCTGATCTTCACTCAGTCCATCTCACTGTCTCTCCAAATGCTCTTCTTACAAAATCTATCCAAGCCTAAGCACTTCCTTGACTCAACCTAGTTTTCATCCCCACCAACTCTTCTAATGGCCAAAGCCCAAGTTCTCCACATGCCTGCTGTCCCTTTCCCACCTGGACCTTCCCATCTCCTGTGTAATTAATAGTGTAATTAAATAACTTTTAGTGCAGGTGGCACGAGGGTAACATTGAAATCACAGCAAGGCAATGTCCTAAGTCCCAACACAACATTGAAGCATCATAATTTCTTTATTAAAAAATGGTACCAATAACAGAGCACCATTTAGCTCAAAGTGTCAATTGTGAAACACTCTGAGCTTTATAGAAATCCCAACATATAGAAAGCAATAAATAGAAATGTTAGCCTTACAGCTTTTGTAACTGACAGGAAACGGTCGTAGCTGATAAGGACGATGTTAAACACTGAAGCTGTGCACATGAGATAGTCCATGACCAGCCAGAGCTTGCACAGGCTCCTTCCCAAGTGCCATGTTCCTGTCAGGGCATAAGGGATGTACAACGGCATACAGAACACACCTGTGAAAAGAAACCAAATGCACACGTCAGTCAGCACTGCACTGCATGAGAGCAGAGACGTATTTCTGCAGTATCTGACAAAAGATTGATCAATACTGGCTGGAATTGCCACATAGATGGCTTTGTATTATCCTGCAACTGAAGAACCTTTACTACAAACTAGGTACTAGTCACGTTCTTATAATTAATACCCCTCTGAAAGGTGTATCATGTTTATTATGTATCATTGTTACCTCTCCAATTAACACTACCTGCTGAAAGAAGGAGCAGCTGACTGCTCTACCTGCTGAAGTAAACACTCTTCTGTGTAATCTGCTGAAATTAAAACAAACAAAAGCATCTTTCTCCCAAAGTTTTCTATAACAAATTATCCAATTGCCAATTCTATTCACTGTTTTCTATAACGAATTGTCCAATTACCATGCTTCTATCCTCTTAGAAGCATAGATGTTGGAAAATATTCCAGTTAACTTCTTACAGAAATACAAGTTTTGGACTAATTTTAAAAACTATATGATCAAAATGCTGACAAGAACAGCACAGTTAATTAAATACACCCAGCCTAACCTTTTGCCTCATCTTAAATCTTGATAATAACTACTTTTCAGGGGCGAGCTGATAGGATATTATCTATGGGAACTCCCCAGACTGTGGGAACACAAGTGATCCACCCACATCCATTGCTACCTAAATTTAGGCTGCTAAATCCAAATGTTGTGAAAGTGCCAATATGACCTCATTTTAATGGATTTTGAGATAATCACCCTACACAGAATCACAACACATCCCTGGGAGGCTGAAGAACTAACAGTGCAGTCAACTGGGATGCAGAAATGCAGTGAACAGCAACAAGGCTGCAACAAAATGGAATCACTGCATTTACAGAGCAATTAGCATGTTGTCTTTTGAGTAAAACATTAGAGATTTTAACATTCACATCAGGAAAAAACTTGGTTTCAACTTTAGATTTACCACCTAACAGTGTGTACTCCTGTAACAGTATCTTGAAAGTTTCTATTTCCATAAAAATCTTACAGTTCCTGTTATTCTCCCTGTACTAAGAATCAAGACGTCTCTATTCAAACCCTGCGATAGGTACTGAAGCACCAAGACAAAGCAAAAATTGCTGAATGTCAAAAGCAGCTAGATTAGATATGTTAAAAGAATAAGCAAATGATTCTGTAAGCTTTTCGCAATTTAGATCAAGAAGAAAGCAAGGATAATTTAGGCATAATTATATAGCTACAAAAATACAAATCAGTTTGACTCTAAAGTCAAACTAAGACAAAAGCAAAGCTTTTAACAAAATTTATAATTAAAAACTAGACATTAAGGTAAACATAATATCACTAAACAAAAAAGCATGGAAAGTAGGAAATGCCAAGTAAGCTGTACTTCTTTCTTTGGCAGAGAGGTTGTTTACTTTGTAGTTCTCAGCTAGGGCTGGTGTTTGTTAAGTATGATGCTAGATGGTGAGTCAAATGAGAGAACATCAGTTTGTCCACTGGTTTTCTGCTCACTGCTCTATTTTTTTCCAGTGCACTGTAACTGGAGAATAGGCAGCAAGAGCTCTGTAGCACAGCAAGGGAGAAATAAGCTGGAAAAAGACATCAAGCATATGCAAGGAGGTATCAAAACATTATGCAAGAAGATATGGACATCACAAGGATAGGACTATTAGAAGCTATGCCCCTGACAGAACTTCTGGCTCTGGCAAAAAAATTTGTAAAAAAAGTTTCTTCTGCTCTTTCAGTATACCTCTTAAAAGTGGACTTAAAAATTGTTGTGATATGACAAGTCAGGATACAGATTTCATTAAATAGCCACAACTGTTTAAAACCATCATTCTACACACTCAATAATTTAACCAAGGTTTTTGGAAACACACCCAACAATTCACAGAATATTGCAATAGCTCAGCCTCCAACTGAACATCATACTCCTGTTTTAATTGTACTTTTTCTCTGTAAAAGTTTCAAAACTAAATGTGTCCCTATGTATAAATACACATGTAGCATCAAACTTCTTTAAAATTGCTTTATTTGTAATTTTTATTTTCCTATACAAACACATATTCCTAAGGTATTTCTCTATATAAAGCATGTATAGCAAAATGCTTAAAAATAGCATTCATTGCTATTTAGTAACAAATGTCAGGTAATGATATGTATTGTGTGATAGCAGACTGAAAGAGAAGATATTGATCATGTATGCAAGAGCTGTCAGACAATGTAGGCTGTATTTGATTAGACCATCTAAATTTCAGCCAGAACTCTTCACAAACAGCTCCCATTCTTTGTTAGTCGATAAAATTCCCATATTAGTATTTTATTCTGAAATATTAAACAAAGCATCCTTTATTTTCTAAAAAATGATAGCCTGCTAAAACACTTCATGGAGCTTCCACCATTCCCCATCCTTCCCCCAAACACAGCTGGGAAATAGTTCTCTCAGAAGAAAACACACAGAAAACAAACACCAGTGCTTCTCCTAAGAGTCCTACAGCACAACTAGCACATGGCTCCACAGCTCTCACTTACCCACTGCAAAGTCAGAAACAGCAAGATTCAGAAAGAAATAGTTACTCCGATGCCTCAGGTTCCTGTCCATAATGAAAGCAAGGATCACCAGCATGTTGCCAAGGATGGTCACCAGACACAGCAACACCATGAGGAAAGCCAGCAGCGCCAACACACCCAGGGAGAACTCGGAGCTCAGCGCCTGGCTGGGCCAAGTCTCGTTACGCGTCTCAGCAGCGTGCGGAATTTCGGTGGTGCTGTTGTGCATGGTGGGTGTCCAGGCCAGGTCAGTCTGGGAAGGAAGTTGTGTCTGGCAAAGTTTTCCAAAAGGTTGAGATTCATAAGGAGTTAAAATAGGATGGGTCAAAAATCCAATAAGCATCCAAAAAAAAAAATTTCTCAGGAGGGGAAAAAATAAAAAGCTTTTGATACTGGATAAATCTAGTTTTCCTAAGAGTCTCTTAAAGCAGAACTCTAGCAGAGTTCTGGTTAAGAAATATACTGCTTTTTCAAGCTCGTATTTTAAAATGCAAGTTCTTTGAGCAACATGATCCTTATCTGTGGAGGTCAGGAGGGCTGATTTGAGGTTCCCCTCTTGCTTCCCTCCCTCCCTCCCTTCCTGATGTGTTTTGCTTGCTACTATTATACACAACATTTTCTAATTTTTTTTCTTCAATCTGTGTACATATCATAATGAGAATTTAAACTACTTTTTAATTTCATCCTTGTTTATCTGACATTGTTGCAATTCAGCAAGCCGTTGGCCCTTCTCTATCTATATATTGATACTTTTTGCTGAGGAAAGGCATGGTCAACTTCGTTGTTGTTGCTGTTCTCCTTTTTGTGCACTCTGGGACTGAAAACAGATACGATGTAAGTATACATACAGTTACTTACCAGAGCAGTTACCTGTAATGATTCAACCCTCAGAGATAAGTTCAAAACTCTCACTGAAATCAGTTTCAAAAATCTTAGCAGCAGCTTCAGCAACACATCACCAGCTGCTGTTTCCCCAGAACTCAGGAACTAAATATGGACTCCCTGAATGAGAATGAGAGTTTGGCAATTAACTTTAACAGGATGAGGCTTTTCTTTCCACGCTGGTGGGAAAAACCGTGTGTCTTCCATAAATGCTTATATTTTGTATTAGTAATGAAGCCACTTGCAGAGAGCTGTAAGTATTCTACAGTTGTAAAAATTTGATCATTTTTATCATGGGTTCCAAAAACACTTTGGTGTCCATTTTTAAATACTTGAGTTTGAAAACGTTGGCTGTCATATCTTTGCTTCGGTTGTGGGAACAAATTCATTAGCATTTGCCAAGTGCTTTTGCTGAATGTTTGAATGTCAGTAGTACAAAAATAAAAAACTTTATTATCCATGCAAATATGTTCACAGCATGTGCATCCATCACTGGTTTAGCTTTATTTCGTGTCCAGGTACTGCAGAAAACACACTGTGGCACTATTACTAAGTAATACCAGTGGCTTTTCTTCTGCTAGCCATACTGAAGCCCCAAAAGAAAATTCAGCAGTTTCACTGTTGTTCATGAGAGCCAGTTGACCTTGCCACATGGCTTAAATCTCAGAGTGCTTTTCTGGAATATATAGTTGCCTAATTGTATTCTCCCTCCCTCCCTCAAAATTTCTTATTGGATCTTAGATCTAACTTGATTTCTTGAAATCTTAAATACCCAATTCCTCCACACCATGCTTGGAAAGCCTATGTGTTGCAAGGCATCTACACATATGAAGTGAAGTTTGATAGGAGATCCACTTCATGAGCTTTTAGCAGAATTTTTCTGTGTGTGTGGCTATGACAAGGATTAAATAAGTCTAGAACATGTCCAGCTAGAAAAATATTGAAGCAGCAACTAAACTGCTTCCATTTTCTACTAAAATAGACATGCTAGGCAATAAATATATAGCAAAGATGAACACTCCAAAAGGATTCACAAGTAAATGTCTCATCTTTATCATCCTTCTTTCCCCCACATTAAACACATACTAAACAGTAGAACTACCACCCTGAACTACCTGCAATATGAAGAAATTACTAACACTCCAGAATTGGTATTCTGCTGTAAGAAAGACAATTATTTTCACTTTTAAAAGTTAAGATTTTAAGAACGTGACTTTTCATATTTAAGCATGGAAGATTTCCAGACGCATGCAGGACCTTTAGAGGAAATGACTGACACTGAAACCCCCAAGGAGTTCTTCAGAAGATACTCAGCTAATGAAGTACTCCAATCAGACAGCAGATATCTTAGTCTGCTCATTTATGTTTGAGACACAATGAAAAAAAAAATCATTCTGATACTACCTTGTGGGAAACTCTAATGCTGTAACGACTAACCTGTGTTCAGCTTTACTCGATTCATTTTCAGAATAACAAAACAAAACCAAGAAATTAAAAATATATTAAAACTGAGGGGCCAAAAATATAAAAGCCACTATCCACCCTTTCCTGATGTTTTGGTTTTTGTTGACATATTTTTATGACAGGCGTTTGTACTTTAGGTATAAATTAATTCTATCATCCTTCTTTTCTTTTCTTCTTTTGCCAGGTAATGAAATTTGTAACTCTTCCACAAGTGAGCAGCATGTCTTAAAAACCTTACAGTACTTGATAACAAAAATGGTGAAAAACTGCTGCTTCAGTTTAGCATTAATGTCCCAGAAGAATTTTAAAGTTAAGAGTTGTTGTGAGACATTTTTGTAATCTCTTTGTCCTGTATCTACTTCTTAGAATAAAGGAAGTTTAAACTTAGGAAATGCTTGCAAACAAAAATAGGAAGGGACTGTAACTTCTCTAACCAAAAGTGTCCACAAGACAGTTAGACAGCACGTCATGCTCTCTCTGAAAGAAACTGTGTGAAAATAAAAATGCATTTCCACTCTGATGGTCCATTTTCAGACATTTTAAAGCAAGATGGGGATTCATCTTGCTCACTGACTGTATGGTCTATTTCACTGGTTCCTTTAACTATGCAACATGAAATTCTCATATTTTCAATAAGCTCCTGGTGTGCCAACCATCACAGAACAATCCTCAAAGAAATTCTGCAGTAGTTTCATCACATTTCTTAGCTTACTGCCCATGTTCAGCCTTCCATGTGTCACCAAGCAGCCCCTATCTAGCATCTGATCAGGGACTGCACAGGCAGGACCAGGCACTGCAAACACCACACTTGATCCCATGCTTTCCTTTCACAAAAGAGAATCTAAAACTCTGTAAGTAACTGGTATATGAATTACTCCAGTCCCACTCTCAGTACAACAAACTACAGAATTCAATTATTAATAGAAGACATATATTTGACTCCAGAAATGGAGATGATGAGAAATCCACATTTTCCATTAGTCAGCTGCTGTTTGGTGGGAAGGGGTGGGATGGAGCAATGGTTCCAGATGCTGCACTGTCCTCGTAACAAGGAGCTCACATGTGTAAGAAACAGAAAATTTGTATCTAAGCTCTACTTCAGAACAGAAGAAGAAATCACAAAACAAGGTGAAAATATATCTATGGCTTTACTGAATTCTCTTCTGAATACAACATGTCCATTCTATAAGATAAAGCAATAAGGTCCAGGGTTTTTTGTATAAATATGTGCAAAATAACATTTTAAAGTTTTTAAAAAATAAATTAGTGTTCTGTTTTCTTTTTGTTGTCCTTCCTTATCTTTTTGCTCTTTCCAGCTTGTCTAGATGATTCTTCCTGAAATGAAAAAAATGCATTGCAAAATTTAAAAAATATTAATGTAAACCACAAGTATTCTCCCAACTTTACCCACGAGAATTATTTTTAATATAAACAGTATTCACAGTTTACAGAGATTTATGAAAATTTGGACATGTTTATCCATTCACACAGGTTGTATTACTTTTCTTCTGGCTTCATCTAACAGTGGGAAGTCCCACAAGTTCACATGCAAATGCCTCCATTCTGGAGGGACGAGACATACCGTTGATGGTACATAGTCGTGCTCTACAAGTACATTTCTTGCACAGTTGTTTATATGCTTGAAACGATCTGGTCCCAGGAGAATACCTCCATACCAGCGGGACACCACAACCAACACATTGTGCACGTTCAAAATCTGTGAATAATAGAAAGCAATAAAAGTCATTATCTTTTAATTGATCCTGGTTTACTGCTGACACCAATTTGAAACACAGAAAAGGTCTACTATCTTTTATTTTAAAAAATACTGAGTTACATTTCTTATGCTGTGGTATGATCAATTATTACTCTGTCACTAAGCTGATTGTCTATACACATTTTTGAAGTGGTGGTGGATGAGGCTAATAATAGCCAGGCCACAGGCATTATACATATGAATATATAAAATGCCTCAACCTAGTGCTGTTAATATCTGCATGTTAGCAACCATTAATCATCTCTGTTGAGGAGAAAAAACCAGATATCTGACTAACTGGAACAATACTTTCAGAAGAGTCAATCATTGCTTGTGAAAACAGAAATATTCTTACAATTTTAAAATGGAAAGGACTAGGACCATGTTCTGTGACAGGAATTTTCTACTCTACATTTATGTATTTGCCATAAAGTATATGTATAACAACTCCTGGCAGTAAACAACTCCTGGCAGTAAACAGTAAAACAAAAAAATTTTGGATTAGCAAGATAGTGCTAATCCAAAATGCAGTTTCTTGTAACCAGAAAGTGCTATTTTGAAATGCTGGTCTGATCTGAAACAAGATTCATTTCTATTAAAAAGAAAAACCCTCCCAAAACAACAACAACAAAAAACCCTATAAATTCAGCAACAATGAATGTTTTAAATTACCTAATTTTCATACCCATATGTCATAAGAGCTCAAAACAAAAAAAACTACAAGATCTATGAGCGTCCAGAAATCAGCCCATAAACTACTCTAATCTTTTCCTATAGCTGAAAATTGAACTTTTCTTATCCTTATCTTACTATTCTTCCAGAACAGAAATATTTCCAGTAACAGGATTACAGATGGAAAATGATGATCCCCGTAATTTATACCCACTCACATTTGAATGTGACATTCATGTCATGTTCTAAATGGGATTTTTATGGAATATTAAGTGCCTAGACAACTTTCAAAAGTGTGCACTAACATGCTGAGAAAAAGCTGATAATCTCAGAACAAACTGAGGCACAGTAACTGCCAAATTGTATCTTTGCCTTATTTTCATAACAATAATGTCTTCACACTTAGCATATATACTTGCATATATTACATAACCTAAATTTGTTTATTTATTTAAACTTCCCAAGTCTGGTTATTTTAGAAGTCTGAAAAAGTTCAAAATTAAAAATGTCAAAATGTTTCCCTCAACTATATTTTTTTTTCAGAAAAAACAAAGGAAACATGGGTGGGGGAAGAAAAGTTTCCAGGAACAAGAGTGCAACACATTAAGCAAAAGAATATTCAAGCAAGAGAAGGACAAGAAAATAAAACTCCTGTTGTGAAGGGAAGATCAATCTAAAATAAAAATAAATATTTTGTCTGCTCACACAGCTAAGTGACTTGAGGCACAGCATTAAGATGCACACAGTTGTCTCGTGTAGTTGTGCTACTTTAATTATGGTTTTACTAGGGCTTGCATCATGAACCAAAATTTATCAATCTCAACTCACTCATGTTTAGTAGCACCTTTGCCAAATCTTATTTCAATGCTTGAAGAACTAAAATATATGTGAGTATGAGGGCTATGGACCCAGAACAGAAAACAGCACAACAAAACAGACTAAATTATCAAAACAAATTAGCTCCTTCATTCCTTTTATATTTGAAGTTCGACTCTGCCAGTTCATATATTGGTGTCTCTTTATTATGCCTACTCAAGGAAACCACATGAAAGGTTGTGCACAGGTCAGCAGTTATATTGTGATAGTCAGCTTCTCCCAGTATTCATTTTTTGTGTACCTTACACCACACAGGAAGCAGAGCATTTAAAACTTAGTTATATTTTAACCCATTCAAACTATTACTGCCACCTATGAAAAATCACTTGTTTCTATGATCTGAGACTTGAAAGTGCTACAGTCTGTGTTTCTCCTTTCATCTTGAGAAAGCAATCATCTCGCTGGCTGCTAGCAGAGCAAAAATCAAAATAGGCTTCTACAAGCTCATTTACATTGTAGTGATTTTTAAAATCGATATAAATTCAAGATTTCCAAAAGCCAGAGATTAATTTCTACAACCTGCATAAGATGGAGAAGACGTCCACCTGCTGCTGTCTCTCCATCATCTTCACAATCCTGTAGGAACGTCTGCTTATCTTCACAGTATATTCTATAAAAGAAAAAAAATAGATTTAAAAATCAGCTTATTAATTTTCAACGAATATTTCTACATTATTAATGTCTCATATCTTTCATACATGTGTGCATCAATTCTAATCGTCTCTTACACATATTTACATGAAAACAGGATGAGGCATAGGGTAAACCACAAGTGTTTATCTGTACAGTAGAACAAGTTTTGAGAAGCTTTTACACAGACTTCAGCTACTTCTGGTAAACTCCAGTCATTACCAGTTTAAAGTCCCTAAACAGAAAAATACCCAGGTTTTTAGCCTAATAATTGCATCTAGCTGAAACCAACTCTACCAGATATAGATTCAAATAACAGTATACCCCTAGAAGAAAAACTTGGAGAAAAATATTATTAATAATTACTTATGTTTGTATTTCAGCAACAACATGAAACTATAACTGAAATTTGCCCTTGGATTCTCCATGTCATCTCCCTTCTCAGGGGACACTGCAGTAAACTTTTGGGTGTATTGTTTCATAAAGAAGACAGCTGCCCAGGCCTAATTTTCCATAAGTAATGCTCAGAGGTCTACTGACCAATAAGTTTGTTTGTTACCAACTTACTTCCTAAGTTCTGAACTTAGTTACAGCTGACACAATGAAAAAGAGGCTTCTAGTGCTAGATGACAAAGAGGAAGCAGTAAGTATGTGCCTGTTCTTTTTTTTCTTTTTTTTGTTTTTTGGGGGTTTTTGTTTAAGTGGATTTGGGTAATATGAGTGAAGGAAGCCAGATCATCATCTGTGAGAAGAGAGAGAAACACCCTTTTTACAGAAACTTTTTACTCAGGTAGAAGCTTTTACTTTTTGGCAAAATAAGCTTTCACTTGCTCTCATTTCATGTTTCCTTAGGATCACAGCAGGATGGGCATGAATGAATAAGCATTGGTGCATGTTTTTTTAGATGACTGGTTCCTACAGTTCCTCCCTTTTATTGTCCCTTACATTCTTGAGAAAATCTATACTGGTTGGAAAAAACCTACATTGGACTAAGACCAATTAATGTCACATAAGCTATGTTCACAAAAGTTGCCAGAGGCAGGTGACTGCCAAACTCATTTTTACCTCATAATCCCTGAAGTTTCTGGTATTTCAGCTGAAACGTCATATGCCAGATGTCTGCATCAGGCTTTCTGATTCGACTCTTATTTCAACTGAACATTTCAGCTATTTCTAAATATAAGATTGGGGGGGAAAAAGAAGTTACTTCACCCAAATAAAAAGACGTTTAGTTCAGAATGATGTGGCATTTCCATGCTCAGACATACTGCGAAAGTATACCAACACATGCTCAAATCCACCTTTTTCTATTCCTAATGCTGCTTCGCTATCTTATTTCCTACTGTATGTTCTACTTTCTTGACTTGAAATTCAAAATAACACCTGCAACACCAACCATACAAATAAGAAACCTACTCCCTAAAGCAAGAAATTTCTTTTAATAGCAAGGAATTTAATAGGAAGGAATTTCTTTCTCATGTCCTGCACTCATTTGTGAAAGAACACTAAAAAGAAAAATGAAAAATCACGATTTGTATCTCACCTGTATGCATATATGTTGTGGGTAGCACTTGCAATTTTCTTGTTCTCATATAATTTTTCAAGAACTCTTTTAACCTATAAAAAACAACAGAAAAAAACTTCCTTTTATAACAGGGCTTTCATACATCCCTCTCAAAATCACTGCTAAACAAACATCTCTCTAATACTACAATGAAATAATTTTATGCTTTGACATAAAATGTTTGGTAACTCAAGAAGCAGCTTCTCAGTATTCTCATACTTGTTTTAAACAATTTTCCTGGGATACTGAAAACAGCTTGTCCCTTGAATTTCTACATTGTGTACATTCATATTATTGCTCAAGATGTAGAAGTGTCAAATTGCTTTATTAAACAAGAGATGTAAGATCCAGAAAATATTTTTGTCAGTATTCAGTATCAACTGCACCTGCTTACTTTTTTTAACAATAAAGTTAAGCAGTTAAGCTGGAAAAGAACACAACATACATATTTCCACTACACACTGCTTTTACTTATTTCACAAAAATAGGATGTTTAGATACTACATTTCAAGTTTTTCCTTTTCCCTCAAACATGCTTTTTATCAGTTTCCACTTCACAGAAAGAAAGTAAAAACAAAAAACATCCTATTAGGAGTCTGAAAGTGTCAGTATTTCCCAGAAAACAGATATTCCCATCATGTCTATGATCTCTTTGCTCTTAAGAAGTACCAAATTCAAAACATTTACCAATATCAGCTCATCATATGTTACTAAGTAAACAAGCTGGGAATTGTTCAACCCTTTCCAATAGTCTAGCAAAAAGAAGAGCTTTTGATTAAGACATCATTTTAGTACATAACACAAAACATTACTGAAGTTGAGAAAGCTTGGGAAAACATGCCTGGCAAGTAAATTGCCTTCCATTCAAAAACAAATGTCTCAGAGGAGTAATCAACAGATATATTTAATATCTGCTCTAGCTATACTGTGCTATTTCCAATTCTTCTTGAAGAAATTCAACTGACAAAAATCACCTCAAATAAAGATATCTCAATGAAAAAAATCCTATTATTAATGGAGAATATTGCTTCAGACATTTATCTTCCCCTTACTTTAAACACTGAAGGAAGACAACTTGTATTACTTCATACACTTTCATAAACATGGACAGTATGTTAAAACAGTAAGTTTCAATCCAGGCATTTAAAGGACAATTCATATGAAATAATCATCACCTTTGACATTACTTATTTCCCAGCTACCTGGTTCCCGGAAACGTACTTTAAAGATTAATTTATGTGCCACAGCTGTATCTTCTTTAAGGGAGTCTTTAAGATATATACATATATAAAATAAATGAACTGTGTTACTTTAGAAAGGGAAGAAATGGGAATCATTGGCTTAATGTATCTTTTTCATTTCAAAATACTCTCACCCTTTTATCATGATTTGTGAGTAAGATTGTTCTACATACACAAAACCCCACATGAATGTACAGGGCATGTGAACTTGAAAGGTCAAAGTGCTCCAGAAGGGATGCTGGGATTTAGACACGAATTCTTATGTCCATGTTAGGCAAATTATTGAGGGGAAAGAAAAAAACAAAACACAGATGGCTTCAAACATTACAGCTTTTGTATAGATAAATCAGCCTAAAACCATTGTCAACCTGTCACTGTTTATTCATAGTCACTGAGTATGTAGCTGACTTAGCTTACATGGAAGTTCAAGAAGCACTTGACAATATCCCTCACCAAAAATTATTTTAAAAAACCCTAAAATGGCATAAAAAGAAAGAGAAAAATCCTCTCAAGGTTTAACTCTGAGTTAATAAAAGAAAAGAACAGTAGGATCCCCACTAAAAAGGGATGATCAAAGAAGGCTGACGGTAACAGATGGAAAGTAATGTATAAAAGAAGCTCCAAAGCCCTCTCAATTAGGTCATGATAAAGATTTACTTATGCAAAATCCAAGTGTGTTCTTCAACAGAATTCCTTTCTGAAGGAGGGAAGATGTACATAAATCCATTTTAGGAGTTAGCTTTTCCAGCTAACGCCTGATAGATTTGGTAACTTCCAAACATCTTATGATAAACTTGCCAACATCCAGAAGTCAAATCACAGTGTTCTTATTCTCCTCCATCTAATGCACATAGTAGTCAAGAATAGCAGGAACAGAAGTAAAAGTGAGAAACCAATAACTAGTCAGACAGTACCAGCACAGAAAGATGCACAGACAGACCAACATATCTGGCAAATGCCAAATATTCCAGTAACACTTTGCCAAGCTCAAAGTACAGGCAAAAAGAGAAGAACTGATCTCTACTAACTTGTCTGGTTGTCACCACTGGAGCCAAATGTGCCTGGAAAGTGCTCCTTCGATCTGTGATTGGGTTTCCATGATGTATGGGGGGCAGTTCTTCATCTATGGGTCACAAACAAGGGAGTGTTTCTTTTCTTTTAAGAGGACAGAAACAATGCATGGGGCTACAAAAGTAAAGAATGTCTCAACTTTAGGAAAAGGGACTTATTAAAGTGAAGTACAGAAAATAATGTATAAACCCACCAAAAATATACTGCATTTTTAATGACTGTTATTAAATGTTATTGTAATTCTATTGTCACTAATTTTATTCAAAAGCTGAGTAGAAAACCAGAATCTTCAAGTATCGTTTAAATTATTTCAGCAGAATTAACAAGAGTGTATTTTTTACCTTCCTGACTTTCAGATGTCATGTAATTTAACATTTTAGTTTGATCTTCCTGAGTGGGCTGATAGTCCAGGAGAAAATCATCTCCATCATCTTCATCAACTTCTTCAGTGGTTTTCTTAATATCTGGTTCTATTAAGATACAAGTAGTAGAATTTATTACACATTTTTTGCAAGACAAGCAAAACAAAATTTCAAACTCTTTTTCTCAAAAGTCTCTGTCTTCTCAGTTCAAAACAGTTTGACATGAAAAATTATTAAATGCAGAATAGCAGCATTAATTACAACAAAACCCAAAAGTACTCAGCCCAGTATTAAGCTAAAAATTCCTAGGAATTAAAAATAAAATATTCATACTATGGCATCCTTCCATAAGACCTTGTGTTTCAATACTAAGTAACAGTATTTCTAAGAAAAAAAGAACGTTTACTATTTCCATTAAACATTCAAAATGCTACCTTTAATCTGAATTTAGGGATCAAATCAAGCTGATGTTTCACAAGAACTCCAGCCATTTACTGGTCATTTGGGGCAAAATGTAGAGCTGTTGCTCAGTGCTACTTCATGAGAGTATAAAATTATAAAATAAAAAATTATTAGATTTGAAACATCTCTCTTAACATGCTTAAAGTATTCTGGGATTCCAAAATTCCTGTTTTCCTTCATTCACAGAACATCCAAAAAATAATAGTCAATAACAGAGGAGGAAATATACAGGGTTCTGACATCTGGATTTAGAGCCAAATTAATATATCACAGTTTCATTCCTATTTAGAGGGCTTATGATGCAGGTGTTTTAATATATGTATTTTCCATAAAAAAACAGAGGGGTAATAAAGCATGTTCAAAAAGGGAAGCCATATGTTGTGGCCAAAATACCCAAACTTCCAATATTGTCAGTAAAATTTTCACTTCTCAGTGCCGACTCCTTTAATCACATCAGTGAAGAATGACTTCTCCAATGTCTGTGATGTAGCAACAAAATGCACAGTTTATCGACAGACTAACATTAGACCTTATCATGAAACCACACTGAAAATGAATTTTTTTTTTCTTCAGACTTTTATTTCTCACAGGACAAAGGTAACACCTCTGACAGAAAAAAGTAGCTCTGTTTCTTTTTGCCACTGTACATGCACACGTCACTCACACATTTCATAGCAGTTTAGCATTTTAATGCACAAAACCTCCCACCATTTTTTGAAACAACAACTGTGAATTTACACAAACTCTGTAAGAATAACAGCAGAAGAGTCACTGCAGCTTACTGATGATGTACTCCTCATGTCATTACAGTAAAATGAATGAAAGGACAGAAAAGTAAAAATGATAGAATATTTGGTCATTTGTCTGCAGAGTTCACTGAAGTTATCTTTTCTTGAATCCCATTCCTCCAACAGTGCACTCAACACCAGAAATTAATTACTGGTATGAATAATCCTTTGCAGGATGGAGGGCAATGCCTAATGTACCTGTGGGCAGCACTGTCCTTTCAAGCAAATAATTTCATTCCTGAGAGAACTGCAGACCTTGTTCCAGTTCAGGGGCCATCCCCCACCTTCTTTTCCCTACTGCTTTTTAAAAAGGGACACTGCCACTGTAAAACACTAAGCCCTGACACAGGAGACTGTTTTTTGATATTTAGATGTAATTCAAAAGTAGGCCTAAACTAACTTGTACTAAAATCTTACTTCACAGTGGAAGAAGGAAAATAAAAGCCCCATGTATTTTCTGAAGTACCTGGATCTGAAGACTGTGCCTTTTCTACCAGAACTTCTCGTATCTTCTCCACCCATAAATACAGTATACTTTCACCAAGGTTCTGTCTGGAAGTAAAAGGTCATGGTAAATGAAGAATCACTTTTACAAATTTCACTTGGAAAGTACATAAAACAACATACAGATTTCAGACACACAGAAATTGAACATAAGCTAGTGAGATAAAGAGCTTAAGCAGGCTTGTGTCAAGTTGTGTAGTTTTGTCTCAGTAGCTCACTGGGTGAAAAACTTATCAGTGGACTGTGATAGTAGATCAGTGGAGCATTGGAATGAAACACTACAGTTTGGGTAATAGGCAGTGCTATAGGACAGGAGATAAAGATTTAGGCCTAGGAGGCTTCACTCAGGGGACACAGGTGTGTATTGAGGTACTGAGGGAGAATGGGAGGAATACATTTTATATACACGTCAGGAGTTAATAAATGCTTCCTTTATGTGGACCCAAACAACTCAAAACACATTTCAAATGGTTAAAATGGTTATGAACTGTGCATATTTGTCTAAGAAACAAAACTGAAGATTTAGGACCATAGATATCTCATGGTTTCTCATTAATTTTACTCTTACTGCCACCATCTGGGCACCAGTTAAGTAACAAAATTATGCATTTAAACTCTGTGTAATGTATACAGCACTACAGCTGAAAATAATCAAATTTAAATAAGCATACATATTTCAAGAAAAATATTCAAGCAAAAATAAGGATTTTATGAACTTGTAGCTCTCACTTCAAAATCCAGACAGACTCCAGAACAATTCAACATCCTGATTTCACACAGCTTATAGTACCAATTCACTGCTTTAACATCTGAAGACTTTTTTTTAGTGATGGAGAGAGACTAGAAGAGGAATAAAATTTCCCTGTTTAACAAAAGTAAACAGAAATTTGTCCAACTATCACTCAATTACAATTTCTGAATAGTTGTAAATTACTTTGTGTCTCCTAAAACAGAATTGTGATCTATAAATATTCATTTTTTTTCCACAGCGATTGACAGTATAGTTCATGTTGGTTTAGACTGCAGAACTACACAACTTAGATCCCTAGGGACTAGAAACCTGGTCAAACACAATGTAAATGATGCAGAGTATCTCTGTTCATCTGACAATCATTTAGACATTGACTAGATAAAAGGTTTCCATAAATACTGTGCACATCAGTGATTACTCCAGGTTTTCAAACTGATTAAAATGATCTAAAGTACATATATGGCTTAAAGTACAAACACTTTCACTTTCTGCTGAACAAACAGAAGTGAGAGCAGACCAGAGAGGACTCTGACCAGCAGCTGATAGAGAGACAAGGGAGCTGAACCAGCACAGTTTGACAGCCTACAGGATTGCACAGGGGGAACAAAAAAGGAACCAGCAGCTCTATCTGTGGTAGAGACTCCATCAAATCCTTTGAATCTGGACAGCATTAAGGACAACCTCTGTCCTTTTTGCTCCACTGAACAACTGTGGTGAATATGATCACACAGAACTTTTAACTTAAAATCCTTGTGCATTTTTAACACTTCAAATTAAATTTTACTTGCTTAAATGATCTGTTGCTTAATTAAGAAACCCAGTTAATAAAAATAAAAAACTCTTATGCAAGCTAAGTGGTCTCTTCCTTATGGCATTAAAAAAACATCTCTTATGCAAGATGCTCAGATTTCACTGTCTGGGGCATGATTGTGCTTTCTTATGTTTTCATTTCATTTATTTTATATAATCTCTGGGATCTAAAAGAAATAAATAAACCATATAAAATTACTACATTTTCCACCTCCCCCCTTTCACAGCTATTCAGAATCATGCAATTTGAGTATTTCTAAATGCTGTTTATTCTCATGCATCCATTATGGCCTGTATTATGTGTCAGCTGCACATTGTGATAATAAACAGCCCACAATGTTCCAGATTCCAGTTAAGAGATTCTGCATGTGTTTATTTTAAAACCTAGGTATCCCTTAACTTTTAAGAAAAAGTGGTATTCCACTTATGCTCCAAGACAACCAAATATTTTCACATTCTCTGTTTTAACATTCAAGTGCAGAACTGATAGAAATTGAAAATACATTGTCTCCTTTTACTATATTCCAGTCTCAAACTTACAGATATATTTCTTCCAAGCTATTTGCTAGTTCTGTATAATCTTGTCCTCGAAGCCAAGGGGCACTAGAATGAAAAGAAATGCAATGAAAATTGTGCTATATGCTGCTTCCAACATTTCCAAATAAATGTGATGAACACCTTGAAAATATAACTTTGCCAACCATCAAGATTCCAGCTGCAAACATCTTGGAAAAAGCAGGATAAAGAACAGAATATCCTTGCTGGAAACATCCCTCACTGCTGATATACTTTAATTCAAGGAGTATTTTAATTAAACTTCCACTTACAGGTAAACAATTAACAGTGGCAATTTATCAAACACAAATGTTTGCAAGAAAACATCACCTACTTTAGTTGATAAATAGGTGGCTCTGCAGTTGGATATCCTGGTGGCAAAATCACCTGAAAGAAATTCAGGATATGTATTCATTGCACTACCTTCAGCTAGATGAGCTTTACTGAAGGACTCTGATGTCAAGCACCAGGACTACAATTAGTGTTACAAAAATGAAGAAAGCAGTTGGGTATGTTGTTACAGAATTACAAGAAACACTGAATATTTGCATTTAAAACTCCAAAAGTGGTGATACATACAGTTATGTTTTATGGGGCAATTTATAAGGATGCAAAATAAAGTACGGATAAAAACTGAAAGAAGCTGCACACATGGTTATTGGACTTAAAAAAGAGGTACCACATTTCCCTAAGTAGACACTTCCATGTTTCTTACACTAAGTAAACTTATTGCTTTCATTTCTGAAACATAAAGTAAGGACTTGGATCAAATAAGTTAATCCAAATTTCCTTTTGTCTCAACACTTTCCAGAAAGCAAATCTAGATGCACTTGCAGTAGATTCACTGAGGCACAAAGTCCTCAGTGTAAAAGTATTTCAGAAATTAGTCTTTGGTGAAATACACCAAAATACACCTTTGGTTAGGTGTGGAATTAGGATATTCAATTACTGAATATATAACAAGCACACCAATGTCTTACACAAAGAATCACTGAAAAGTCTTATCACAGACTCCAATCCAAAAGCTTCTTAATCATCTGAGTAGATAATAAACCATATTTAAACCCGCATCAGTCTAACTGCAAAATTCGTGCAAAACTTCTTACCGCCACTGTACCTGCAAACAGAGGGTCCATTTTGGTTGATCCAGACAGTCACTAATCTTAATGCAATAGATTTTTTCATCTTCATCAACAACACACCAATCATCACCATAGATCGATGAAAGGGCTTCAATTTCATCAATCTAAAAAAAACAAAAAAAAGCAAAAGAAAATATCCCCCCATAAAACCCAAACAACTTTGTGTGCCAATCATATTTTCATCTTTTTTAAAGTCTTTCTCTTCTAGAACTCATTAACAGATGTGACAAGATTCACTTCACAGGAAGGCACTAAGTACTGGGGATCCAGTCCCGATTCACAGGACTTCGGGTGCGCCAAGGGAGGTTTACGTTGGACATTTGGAAGAATTTCTTCACAGAAGGGGTGATTAGACATTAGAACGGGCTGCCCAGGGAGGCGGTGGAGTCACTGTACCAGAGGTATTTAAGGAAAGACTGGACTCAGTGACCTCCCTGGTCTAGCTGACACGGCGGTGTTCGGTCACAGGTTGGACTCGATGACCTCAGGGGTATTTTCCAACCAAACTGACCCTGTGATTTTGTAAGTAACCTTTGCTCAGTTCTCACACACACACAACAGCTTTTGAATATTTCTGGATAAGCCTGTCATCTCAGCAGCGACAAGGCGAGCAAAGTGACAGGGAGCAGGTGCCAACACCAATCGGGCGCTGCTCCTGGCTGGACGGGTCGGACCCCGGCAGGGGAAAGACCCCGAGGGCTCGGCACTAAGCTCGTCCTGAGGAGGAGCGGATACTCAGCAAATTCCCATAGAGAAAAACCAGGGAAATGCCTTTTACCTAGAAAAGAAACACCTGAAGTGTGGCGGTGCAGGCGCCACGGCGGGCACGGAGCCGCTCGGGGGCCGGGGCTCACCAGGAGCCCCCTGAAGGCACCGCTTTCCCCGTCGCCCCCTCCGCCGCTCACCTGCTGCTGGGCCCTTTCCGTGTCACTCGCCGCCATCGGAGCCGAGGGACGGAGCAGGGGGAAGGGAAGGAGAGGGAAGAAGCGTGAAGAAAGGAAGGAGAAGCAGGGAAAAGCCCAGAGACACCCCGGCGCCGCGCCGTGTGCGCAGCCGTGGCGGTGACGCTGCCGGCCCTTCCTTCCGCCGCAGGGACTGCGGGAGCAGGCGGACCGTGCGCTCCTGCCTGGCGTTACCGCACATCCTTTATATCCATCCTGGAACTTTCCCGTATCCCCTATATCCTGTTTTTAAATAAAAGTGTGCAAGCGGTTCTGTTTCACTGAGGATTTTACTGATACAGCCGTTTTCACCGTGTGTTTATGGCACTCGGGATGCAACGATTGACATAACTACAACATTTTCTTTAAAAATTATTTAAGAGTAACAGGTGTTTCAAGCAGTTTTCATTACACTTCTAGAAATTCATTTCTTTTATTTAACCTCCGGAAGTTTAAGGCATCTCTTTTAGAGACGGCACTGATCAGTAAAGATCTCTTTGTGTGCAAAACATGGGTTTCACCGTTTTTGCAGTTTTTGTAATTTATGGTTTTTTTCCAGTGTGATTTTTTACACAGTTGGGAAGAATTCGAGGTAAACTTCGCTTTGTCCTTCTCGAAAGCTTGGAGAATTTGCACCCATTCCGGAGAACCGGATTAGGGTTCAGAATGAATATGACAATCAGGTGAAACAGACAAAACAAAAACTAAAACAAAATAACAACCTACAGAAAAGAAAAAAGGAAAAAAACAACCCAGGATGGTATTGAGTAGGGATAAAACTAGGGCTGTATTATCAACTACATACATTCTGGATGGAAAGCTACTGGTTACACAGCAGTTCTGCAGAAATTATTTCAGAGTTAGAGGGAATCCAAGACCATCTTTGTCTTCGGTGTCACAAACAGAGTTGGTATAATTATTTTTGAGAAGATAATAAAAAGAATATATACCTAGTCTCAGAACATGACAAAAACGCATATTTTATCAGACAAAGTCACATATTCCAGTTAATTTTAAAAGAGAGAGAGAAAGAAATGTAGACAGACAGTGAGCTTATTGTTTAATCAATTAACTTCTGACCAAAGCATAACTGAAAGCTTTAATCCATAAGGACCTAGAAAAGATGCTGCTCCATCAGTTCATCCTAATAGTAAATTGCCTTATAAATCTGAATAGGGAACTATGACAAGACAAACTTTCTGACAACAATCTCTATGTGGTGCTTGTGCTTTATAAGTTGCTAGTTTTGACTTAGCTGAACAAGTGACTTTACATTACTGTACACATTTTTTATTATTAAATAACTCTAAAATGTTATTGGCACTTTTTATGAGTGTTTCTCTAAATCATATAAAAGCATTGATATGAAAGACTTCAGCAATCTGCTATGGGGCCAGGAAGAAAATGTACCAGATAAGGAGGCACAGAGAATAAATCACAACAACTGTATGGACTGCAGACACCTCTGACAGATTTCAGAGGACTCGCTAATTTCCTTTCATTGTCATTTATATTTGTGACAAGTCTTAGTAAATAGAAATGGAGATAAATGTGGCTAATGAATTTCCAGCATGTTTAGAGATACTAAATTAATAACAGAGTAGCTGAACTGATATGGTGCACAGGACTATTTACCAGATAATTACTGTCTTTGTCTGAAACATTCTACTAAAGCAGAAATGAAATACATATTCACAGCTTTCAAACAAAGGATAACAGCACAGTGGAGTTTTCTAAACTATTTGGGGTATTCTAAAAGAGTATATCTGAACCTCACTATTCTTTATGGTGATGCATCTCCCAAAATTATACTCTTTACATCAATGCATAAATTTTGATATTTAAAATTATTAAAAAGTCTAACCGTGGTCCATCAGTTCACAAAGACTTCTTTGTGAACCACAGATAGCAAAGGAAAACATTTAAAGTTTAAATCAAATCAATTAAGCCAAAAAATCCCCTGAGGTCAGGGAGCAGTCCAAATTGCTACCTTGAATTCAAATTCTTTGTTCTGTCTTGTCAGGGCACTGGGTAATTACTCATTTAATTCTGCAACTGGAATCTAATACTAGGGCATGAAAAGCTTAAATGAGATACAAATAATAGTCATTCAATCAGGAGTGAATCACAAATAAGTGAAAAACACAGAACTAAGAAATACAGAAGAATTAAAGTTTGAGTAAAATATCCATAACCCTGCTTTATTTTGCATACAACAGTTCAAACAACATGATGCATTTTCAACTCCTCTTTTACAATAGAAGGAAGATTGAGGAGAAACAAGAACAATGTCATGTCATGTACTAATGATTAATCCCCTCAGTTCTGGACCCTGATTTTGGGCAGGATTTTTTTTCCACTGAGACTATTCCATTAGTGTCTTAAGAATAGCTCAAGGAGAGCATTTTGCTATAGTTACTTACCAACAAAAGACTAATTTTTTCTCTAATGCTGTAGTTCCACCCTACATTCAATAGAAATCTCATTCTGTAATAGAAATGTTAATTGGACCATCCAATAATGAGCATTTATCCATTTGAGGACATAGTAGTTCAGCTGATTTCAGTTCCACAGTGATGCATTTTGCTAGATTGTGGTCTAAACTGACATAAATTAGCTGTATGGTTCATAGATATAAACTCTCCACATGCAGCTGATTTATCATTTTGGAACTAAAACCAAACCAAACTGGTTCAGTCACAAGAAAAACAAAGTGCATTAAACAAGCCTGGTTCTTGTTCTAAAACTACATGTCTGGTAAGACTAAGGAGAAGCATATGTAAGGAGAAGCATATGTACAGGTGATTTAATACCTTGGTTAGAAATGTTTCTTCTCATTTAGCCACAACCCAGTTTTTCTGCTGGCTACAGCAGGGTACAACTGCCTTCTGTAGAGCTACAGAAATCCAGAAGCTTTTCTATGAAGTAATTGCTAGCAGGTTTTAGGAGCCTCCTGAGAGAAGAAGACCAGCAGTGAATTCTCACATTTTCTCCTGCCATACCTGCATTCAGATAAAAAAGGGCTTGTCAAAAAGAAACTTTTCTCTGTTATAGGATTTTTTCCCTGCTACAGGATACCTCAAGAAACCACCTGAGCTTGCTTCATTGTTGCTTTGAGCAGCAAAAAGCATTTCTCAGCTCAGGAGGCAATCCATCTCACACCATCCACAAATTCACTACATTATGTGGTTATTACCTGCAAACTATGAAAGAAACTTCAGCAACAGACTAGCATCTGCAAGAATTCCTATTGCAGGCACTTCAGAACAACATGAACATTTGCTTTGATCACTTGCTGGCAGTTGCTTATGGTGATCCAGGGAGATCCACAAGAATCACATCTGAGAGCATCAGCACATTAATTAATTCTGCTGTGTCTGTGTTTTGCCAGCCTAGTAAATAAAATCTGTATGGAAATACAGCAAGGACCTGTGCTTGCTGCCTGGCTTTTCAGAGTTGGGGAGCAATTTCCTCAGGAAATGCACCAGGAACAAATTTTTAGGGCTGCTGGTGAGCTAACAAACACAGTCATTTAACATGTTACTGTGTGAAAACAAACATACAACCCATCACGTGTAGTTTACTATTTCCTCCTCTCATTTCTCTGTGTGCACTCTGTTCCCCAGTCATACATCTCAAATTGACCAGTGTGCTCTAGTCTGAAGAGGAAGAACACAGTGTCAGTGCAATAAAGGTTGTCCCATCACAGAGAGGATATAAAAAACTACTGTACTGTAAAAATCACAAACAAAACAGTTCAGTGAGTTCTGTGCAAGGCTGTTTGCCAGTGTGTTCAGCCCTAAGATGGGACATGTTTCATGCTTTCTGAATCACTAATTTCAGCAAGTTATCTGAAAAAGGAATGACATGAAAACGAAACTAAACCAAAGCAAAACAAAAGAAAACAAAACCTCGATATCAGCAACACTCTCTTTTTCATTTCCACACTTCAAAGTCCAAAATGCACTGCGACATTATTACTCTGGGATGTGCAAGGAGGCAAAACATGGGTGAAAAATAGACACTCTTTGGAGAGGATGGAAGCAGGGGAAGTGTAGTGATCCTGGCCAGGAGATCACATCCAGGAGATGTACATCCAGGAGTCAGTGATTCACGGTACTGTTAAGTGGAGCAGGCCCAGGTCTGTGCTGTGCTGCCTCTGGGCCTGGGTTGTGGTGCACAAAACCCTTGGAAGCAGGACCAGCTTCACTAGCTCCTTGGCACAGAGTGCAGGTGATTAGAGCAACTGCATGGCCTTGCCCTTATCTAGAAGCATACAAGGAGTAAAGCTCTCTTGTGAACATCCTTTATGGAATAGCTGTTTTCTTGTAAGAAAACTAAAATACTGCAACCAAAGAGGAGCCTTTGTCCAGAGATGGAATGGAAGCCTGCCAAAGGAGAAGTCCATCCAGGATTAATCGTGGACACCATGGCTTCTGATTTACTTCCTGTCTCTGTTGGCCTTTACTTTGTCTTTTTAAATAATTAAATTTATTAAGTTATTTGTTTTCAGGCTTTTCTTACTCAGATTCAGAGAAAAACCCTACACTAACTGGCTGAAGAGTGAAACTGAACTGTAAACTCTGTGTTGCATTGCAATGAGTTATAGAGTAGGTAGGTGACAATACCTAAATTTCGTTATAAAACTTGTAAGAAATATGTGGTGATAATATGCATATTTTAAATTGGTGTTCATATGCAAAATAAATACAAAATGGGAAAAGGTTTTATTGTGAGGTTGCTTAAAGCATTTATGGCATTGTGAAAGATGGCTCAAAGTGAGAAGCAGAAGGAAGAAACAAAGGAAAAGGTATATGAAGATGACACAGCTAGTGCTTTGAAAGTAAGGGCAGCAACTTGAAGCTCTGCTCCTAAGAAAAGAAAGCCAATGCGATCCTTCCCTGAAGCCTTTCAGATGTTATATAAGTATTACTAAAGCATCCCTGGAAGCAGATATCTTAAGTAAGAAAAACTAATTAAAAGTAACAAAAGGCAGTAGTTCAAATATGATACATTTGTGTTATCTGCAGGCGTGAAACT